CGGCGAGGCGAGACGAGGATTGAAATTTGTTTGAAAATGGTAACATTTCAATTCTCTCTTAGCACATTCTATTCCGATATATGCAATGAGATGATTGAAATATTTATTGGTGTAATATCGAGCTGTATTGCAGCCTACATAGAGTATAATCAGTGTTGGGCAAAATTTAATTGTTCTGGCAATTAAAGATTGACAATTGATTAATTGTCAATTGCGAAACAGCAATTAACAATTAATCAATTGTTAATTACGGTTCTCGCAACTAACAATTGATCAATCGTTAATCGCAAATATCTACAATTAACAATTAATAAATTTTCAGTCTTTTCAATGTTTTTGATTAACAATTAACAATTAAAACTGACAATTATGATAAATTTATAGAGCATATGGGGGTGAGTTAGGGCGTTGGTTGTGGGGGCCTGCTGGGGACAGGTTAGGGGGCCGGTTGGGGGCAATTGATTTCAATTGACTTGATTTTTTAATCTGATTGAATTATTGATTGAAATTTAATTGATTAACGCCCAACACTGAGTATAATAATACACTCTATAAAACACACGATGTCTATTAACTCTTAATTTGCGGAAGTCGCGGATCCGAGACGGACCTATTTCCTTAATAGCTATTTTTGATTGAAATAGGCCGACGAGATTTCAATTCTCGTCTCGCCTTGCTAGTGGAAAAACACGTTTAGGGTCAAAATTAAGATTTTAGGCGTTATTATAAAAAATTAAAACTAAAAAACTGTAATGATAAGGAATCATCATTATCTTTAGAGTCGACAGATGTCTACTCCCAAAGATCGCCACAACAACACTATAATGCGGGCACTGGAAGATAATCTACAGGTAAAACAAGACTAATTGTTACATAAGTTAATCAATATAAATTTCAATAAATTGGTATGTCATAATATATTTTTCTAGGCACTATAATACATGCATTGACAGACAATGTAAGCGTTGTCTTCTTTCTATTGAAAATCAACAAACAAGTGACAAAACATGACTGATCAAACAGGTTCAATTTAAGGAAGCGCATTTCGCGCTTCTGCGCGAGAAGGCACGCATAATCGTCTCGCTATAGTTTCTAGCTTTTACATTGTATGTTCAAACAATTATATTTGTACACCAAATAGATAATTTTTTATCTGAATCCATGTTTTTTCTGGTGCAATATGTACACAATCTGCTTCATAGACGCTTGACGTCGTACTGCGCCAGCCTTCGTGCCAATTTTCCGTGGATTTGCCAGGCGTCGCGTCGTCGCCGATCGCGGCAGCTCGCGACCTGTTGTTTTGTTCGTATCTAGTTTAATTTGTTACACAATTAACATAAAGTTTATTATGCTACGTAGAATAACATTAAAAAAATTCGATTCCATACCTTACCGCCGCAATTGAACCTAAGCAATGAATTATTCATCCCTTAAAATTAACTTTCTTCATAACTATCATCTTTTGTTAATTTAAATATGTATGTCATTAGAAGCTATTCTCGTATCGGGCTCAAAAATATAATCAGGCTCAAAAATTATAATTGCACTGTCAATGACCACAGTGATTAATACTCTGAGTGCTAGATGAGGAGGGTCTTGGATCAATTCCCTGTTGGACCAATTCAGTGAACAAACATTTCTACATTGGTTCTGTTCTTAATGTTCTGGGTAGTGCCCCAGACTGATTTCATTGCTCTGGTACTGTGTGGTTGTCCAGCACTAATATTGTTGCTAAGATAGTTCTTATTTTATAAATGATGTTTTATCAGATTGTTAAAATAATTAAGGTGCTATTATTTTTAGGAGTCATTCATATTTTTTAATTACACTATTTAATTGTATTACTATTTTATGTCAGCACTAAAAGTTTGACATTTATATTACTAGTAGGTAAGGATAAAGAACATTTTATGATGTGAAGAAAATAAAAATCTTTTTTTTCTAAAAAGTGTCTATAATAATTCTAATTGTCATAGCATTCTGATTTACATTGTCTTTGGTAAAAAATACAAACATCCATAGTAAAAAGCCAGACATAATAAAATTATCACCATAGTACTCACACTGAACTTGAGTTCAAATTATCTACACTTTAGTCTTTATTTGTGTTTTAATACTTTCTTGTATAAAAAATATATTAGTTTTGTTCACCAGTCATTCAATTGCTATACCTTTGCTTGTAAAATAGACATACTCAATTTGCAGATCATATACTGTAGTTAAATGGAATGCGACGTTGCTGATGACAACTACGTACTCCGAAAATCCAAACATAGAGTACACTGAAATAAAAGAAAAAAGATTAAATAATGGCAATCTATATCATGTTTAAAGGTTTTTATGACACTATGAAAATACCATTTAATACGTAAATGTTAATGAATATTGCAGACAGTATAAAGAATATTTACCATACGGTTCACATAGCTTATTATGCCGTAAAAAGAAATAGGCTGCAAAAGCAAACGATCCTACATTGATAAAAAAAGATCTCCACTTTAATTTCACCGAAATTAATTCTATGCTTGTAATGTTCGGCCTCCGTCGATACTTAGTAAGCATCATGCATGTAAAGAACATGTAGAATATTGACGTTCCAATGAATGTTTTAAAACAGACTTCATGGTAAGCTGAAACAAAATAGAAATTAAATTTATTAAGTTATTATGTTGTCATGATTGCCATGCATTGAATATGACACAATTTTTTGGATTTCAAGTTCGCAGTTTGGTTTCAAGAACATTTTTTCATACACTGTAAACATGAATACAATGACTAAATCCTACATTACTTACGATAATAAAGAGATGAAGTCCAATGCGTTAGGCCTAACAGGGCCAGATTTTCTATGACATTTAATATTATTGCCCATTTCACTACCAGGAAGTATTCATCTCTTATTATGTTCATGTAATGCTGACCTCTTAAATAAATTATAAAAAATCTAAAAGGAGCATGGACATATATGGCTACTTTCCATATAGTGTTCTGTGGCTCGTAATTTCCTATGGACGCAGATATAGATGGAAATACATTAGGAACTTTACAATGTGTATTGTTCGCGTTTTCAAAATCCTTATACATAGTAATTATTACACACACGAAGAAGGCTAGTAAAGGCAGTGACACTGTAAAGAAGCATAATTTGGTGACTGGGATTTTGAAAAAGTATTTTTTCTTGGGCACATTGTGTAAAGGTAAGGTAAGATACATTTATGTAAGTACTTATATATGGAAAACAACGATTAACTCATGAGTTTGTTTCTTAAAAATACTATACAACAACACAGCAACGATTGAAATTGAATGACAGTTTCAAGTGTCAACGTCAAAAATAACACTAAAATAATCTACGTTCATTTCCATCAAAATGTAAGCAATTTTTAATACATTATATAGAGATAAATTTTATTATCATTTTGTAAAATATTTTTTTATAGTAGTCAAATACTTAAATTTTTCATTTTCTACCTATCCTCAGAACAGCAAACTTACATAGTATTTGGTGAAAGAATACCATGAACATGAAAACGTTATTTGATGAGTACGGACAAAGGAACGTAATTGTGGTAATTTTATCGATCAAACTCTTCAAACTTATTTTAATGCAAATTCTTCGAATGTAAATATTGATTTTACTTTAATTCGTTGTTGCCTCTGCCCAAAACCATATCCTCAAATTTCCAAATATCAGGTAGCGAATAGCCCCAAGACCAGATTAGTTTTAGTTACATTTGAATTACGATAAAGATCCACCATCGAGCATATGGATGAGATCTACCCATTGAAAACTTGATATGGAAGATATTTTAAAGAAGAACATTTTCCACAATGCGGATTTGGAAAAGCTTTCTCCAGATTACAATCCCTCAAATGTATTGCTACGAATACAAACCAGAAGACAGATAGTGAGTTAAGAACCCTGTGTCTCTGCTTATAATAAGTTTTTTTTATAAATATTTTAATGTATTATTTTGCCTTCAGTACAATTCCCAGATCTAGCATAAATATCAAAGCTTATCGATGCCTTACTTTCTCGAACTCGTATCTTATAAAGAGTGGTTATTTAGGAGATGGCAAAACTTTCTATTTATTTTAAATTTTTTATCAAGGGGGTTAATTTGGATGCATTACTTTAAGAAAAGGTAAAAGCCACTGTGAATATGAAAAAAATGTGATGCGAAATCAGCCTGCAAAATTTGTATATACAATCCATTTTATGCATTTCAGTAACTTTGTGCTAAGATACGAGTTTGAGAAAGTAAGGCGACGTTATGGTACTTACCTCCTTTAATAAAATTCAAACTACCTAATTCTTCGGCCTGTAGGTGCCTAATAATAATAAAATTGCATAAATCTATTTGCGAATTTCTAGGTAAAGGATACTCATTTTCATAGATCTTATAAAACTACTTCGCAAAGGTTAGCACTTTTTCATTATTTGTGGTAAATGCTATTCTTGAGAATTACATTTTTATTTCTTACTTATATTTTCTTGACTACAGAAAAACTTTCAAGCGCCCGAAATATTCTCATCACGCAATGGATAGGGAGATATCAAAATTGCGCAATGATTTTCAGAGCATGAATTTAAAAAATCAATTAATGTTAAAGAAGGCTATTAAAAAACTGGATAGCTTGAAACTAAAAGATATGCCTAGTGATGACGACGATGAATGCAAGAATATTATAAGACCTTTATTAAACGAATTTACAACGGTTGCCACAGAATTAGTCTTATGTAATGACAATGACTTCAAAATTAACGATAAACGAAACATAATAAAGCAGCGTAACAAAGTAATAAAAAGCAAGAAAAATATCAAAGAACCGTTACAAAAAGTTTATGAGTCTGAAGAAGATATTAACGAGAATATAATGCGAATCGAATGCAAACACGTAAACAATCAAGAATTTAGCATAGATAGGGCAAACGTCGAAAACCAAGGTAAAAGTTATCAGGAGACTTTAATCAGTGAAAATTTCAATATTATGGAAGTAAAAGATATAGAGCATACTCCAAACAATTTCAATAACCAACTAAATGATTTACAAACTCTTTTAATAATGATGGCAATTTCACCAAAGCCCAATGACTGTGACAGTTTTAATAGTCCTAATAGCAATTGTTACGAAAGTGGTCATGATATTATAAAGAGTCCACGAAATAGCAAAGTAACTTTAAATGCACTTTTGGAGAAAGATATACAAATACGTGATTTTTTAAATGTAACTTCAATAGGAGTAGAAATTGATGACAGAGAGAAACAGATTGTGAAGAAGTATGCAGAGAAGTGGAAACTTTATGCGAATAAAAAGAAGAATAATCAGCGACGGGATGCACTGAATAATTTCTTCGATAAACTAACCAAGAAAAAAATGAGTGTGTTAACACAGTCTCCTGAATCTATTGATAAAGCTAAATTAATAGCAACTGATTTTAATCGATATCAACACAGGTATTACATGTATAAACACAAAATTATAATTATTTTCTTTAGAAACTTTGATATGTAGTGCATAGATGGGTAGGTATATATTATTATTTATTTGATGTCTCATTTAATACTTGAATTGCAACATTACATTTCAGATACAAAATGCAGAAGCACATAATCGCTCTTCAAAAAGCTAAGCTAGAAGAGCAAAGAAGAATAATTGATGAGCTAAAGTATAACAAAATTATAGAAGCTTCTAAACAATCGGTGGATGAACTGAAAGAGGCTGTTCGAAAAACGTATTATGATATTGATAGGCAGTTGAAACCCAAAGTAAAATGTTTGACGAATGAGTTAAAGATACCCGACGTTGAAGGTAAGTAAGCACAGCCAAATAAATATATAAATACTAGTAGTTAATATATAGTTATTCTTGGGAATTATTTAATTTTTCAGAACCCTTAGTATTGCATTGCCTAAAAATGCCGCAGTTTCTCCAAAGAATGGAAAAGAGAGCTCGAGAACGGGAAGAAAAACATGCAATGATAAAAGAGAGACGCAGGCAAATGGAAGAGGAACGTATACGACTTAAGCAACAGGTAAACAATAATAATAGTTACCCAAGTCCTCTAATTGTTAGAGGAGGCATGTGCCCAACAGTGGCACTGTGGAACCTAAACGGTTCCTCACCAAGTTTTCCTTCACTGAAAAGCTCATGGTAAATTTCAAATTAAATTTCACACAAATTCCGAACTTAGACGTGTAAGCCCGGAATCGTACACATGACCTTCGCACGAGAGGCGGTAGGTTACGACATTACGCTACAGCGACATAACAGGTAAACAAACAAAAAGAAATGATAATCGAATGTAATTTTTAACAATGTATGACTTGTTGAAATTGCAGGAGGAATTGGCAAAAGCAGCAATGGATAAAGAAGATAAAATAAAGAGAATAAAAGAATTAAGAGATAAAAGAAAAAAAGACAAAGTAGAAAGTATTAGGAAAAAACAGCATACTGAAAGAATGAGAGCTCTTAGAGTTATGGCAGAATTACATTATGAGAAGAACTTGATGGCTAAGTACGGAATACGACCTTTGAGAATGATTATAGAAATAAAAAGGGATAATGTAGAAAAGGCGAAGGCACATTACACATTTCAACTTAAGAAAAATATTTTCTTAAATTGGATGTGGTATACGGAGGACATGTGGTATGAAAGAAACTTTAAGGCAGAAGATTTATGTAGAAAAAAGTTACTGCGTAAAAGTTTTGAAGCTTTGAAAAAGGTTGTCTTTTATTGAACCTATGCAAATTTAAATACTGGTCTTATAGTCTTGAGCTTATAGTTTAATAAATTTTCAGAACTACCATGGCTTTGTGATAAAAAAGCAAGTTGCGGAAGACTACTATGACCTGTATGTTACGCAATTGGTTTTCAGAAAATTGCGGGAAGCCATGCAAATTATTAAAATTGAGAACACATTAAAATGTCAAAAGGCAACTCTATATTTTCAAAGGTAAGTACCTAAACCATTCGTTGGTCTTTTGAATATGTTTAATACACGTACCTGATTAATTAGTTTCACTATTTTAGCAACCTGCTATTCAAAACGTTCACTTGTTGGAGAACATTGCCGGCACTAAATGCCCTCAAAAGGGAACAAGAGGCGCGAAAAGCGAGGTGGAGAGAGAAAGTTCTGCAAGTTGTCCCTGACTATACACCTCCTGATGATTAGGATTTTGGTGCTTGACGAACACATTTTTTATAACTATATCTAGGTATATACTAGCGTAGGTACAGCCTTTTTTATAACTCCAATGATTCGTATACATATAGTTGCAAGTAGTAACGGGTCTGGTTCTTATTGTTATCGTGTCACTATAATGCACATCGTGGTGAAAGGATTTAGCAGTCGGCGTAACGTACTCGTCGATTGTTGCCGCGGATTCTCCAGACGTACAGGACAGGAATGGTACGCTGTTCCTTTCGTGCACCCTGGGTTTAGTTTTTAAATTATGTAACAGGTAAAATAAAATGCTTTTAATTTGATTAAGTAGTAAATAATTTATTTAAATACAAAATACCTAAATACATACGCGTAATGGTAAATTTATCTACCATGGACAGAAAAGTAAAATAATAAATTGCATTAGAAGAGATCTTTTTTGGGTTCTAGCTAAAAGATATGTAATATTTTACAATCTATTCATAAGTATAAAACAAAAGCTTTTTATACATAACTTTGTATACTAGAACAATAAATAATTAACTCTTATTTCTCACAATGTTTTACCTGAGTCTTTTCGTTTCCTTTTCTTCATATTTATATACATTAAAATAACAGTAGGTGTGTTAACATAAAGCAAAGCCTCTTTCGCGATATCATGAAATGAATTTTATATGTATATTCATTGACCTAGGTCAATGTGTATATTCATCCACAATGACTACCAGTGTCTATTCAAGAGAGCTCTCAATTATCACTTAGTTTCAGTACTCTGGTTAGTTATCAAAGTGAAAATAGACCCATTTGCAGATATTTCGTTTTAGTCCTCCAGAATTTATTTTTCATACATCAAATGCGTCTACAAATTTTTGTAATGGGTTTTCTAGAAGATTTGTAAAAGTTACATTTAAGACAAGACTAATTTATTGAAATAACTTAAAAGTGGCTTACTTTATTATTATAGAACTTACCACACTTCGGAATGACATTATACAATTGGTGCAGTAACACAAGAATAACAACCAATAGATATCCTAATCCATAAATACAGGTTACAAATATTAACGCCGTCCTGTAAACAAGATAATCTAGATATTATTTAATATTTTCAACACTTTACAAAGATTTACGAAAAGAAAATTGGTTTTGATAGCGAACCTTAGGTTTGTGAACCAAATATTTTCAATATATTTTTATTATTTTATTTTAAGCCAAACGTTGTAGGTAGCTATTATTTATTAAACATTGATTTGTCTTAAAGTATCTAATGGAGATGGTAAAGCAGGATTCGCTTATAAGTAGTAGATTCAGTATTTTACTGACTTCATTAGCAATAAGCTATAAACTGCTAGTTTACCTGAATTGTGCATACACATGATCACAGTTCTCAGGTAACACAATACTGCCAAACGACATGAAAGGGTGACATGCGGTTGTGAGACCATAGTTGGTTCCAACTACGATGGTTGCAAAGGCACATATTTGAGCAAATAGAAAATATTTGTAGTTAGGCCGAAATACACAGCAGTCCCACCTGTAAAATAATTAAAACAAATATAAAGTTGTACACACAAATAAGTTTCACCAATTTGGTTGTGTAGGTAATTGCAGATAGCTGATATGATAACAATTAAAGCCAAACAATATAAAACACTCAATTTGATGAGTAATCCCTTTACCATATAGAATGGAATAGCCTTTCATTTACTTCTATCTGGCATATTTGGCAGTACTGTGAATCTGCTGTTAGAACTGGGCTGAAAATAATAATATAAGTGAATATAACAATAATTTTTATTATACAGCTTTTAAAATAGGTATCAGTCAGTACCTAAAATATAGGGATAATTATTTCCGAAATTTCTGTGCGTGAGTGAGGCCATTTTAAGGTATTACGTATTGTACATAGTATATGCTACTCCCGCCTGTTCCGCGCGTCAATGTCTACTCTAAGTCGCTCGGAGCTTAGGGTTATCACATTATTAATTTAGCTGTGGTGTATAGCGGTACCTGCAATGAACACTACGCTAACTTAATTTTTGGACCTGTACCTGTTTTATTTTGTGTCTTTGTTTTTTTCACAAAATCCGTTTTCTTGTTTTTTTTTTCGAATTTTTTTTTGTAGCTTTGGTTTTTTCATCACGAAATTCGGAAAGCATAATGTTAGTAAATAAATATGGCTTTTTACAAAAATAACAGAAAATGATCAAAAAATTAAGTTGGCGTAATGTTCATTGGAGGTATCGATAGGTTGTGCAACATAACTTGAAAAAATTAAGGTATTCACATGGTATTCATCACAGTATTCTCATGCTAATCGTATATTGAAATAACCTTTGTTAAATGCAGTAGCTTATACCAGTATCGCAATTAGTATTTAATTTTTAACCGACTTCAAAAAAGGAGCGGGTTCTCAATTGTACTGTATTTTTATGTATTATATGTACATATGTGACCCGAAAGCTCCGGCATTTATGAACCGATTTTGATGATTCTTTTTTTTGTTGGAAAGGGGGTAAATTTGAAGAAAATATTCCACCTCTAAGAGTGGCAAACTAGGGGATGAATCCGGTTTCGCGCACTTTCCGGTAACCGATTTCAATAAAGCTTGGCAAATAGATGTAATTCCACGAACTTTTGAAGTTGGTTTTTTAGTACCCTGTACTGAGATTATTGTGATAGCAAGTAACGGGACGAACCAGCCGTGCGTCTAGTGGCAAGCGTCACGCCTGTCCATAACAGTTGCAGGCCACAGGTGCCACTCAGGGCTTTAAATCGCAAAGATTTGAGGGGCACTGCCACTGCACCCGTCACCCTGAGATATTAGTTGAAAAATTCCATGTGTCGGTAATTTCACCAGCACCTTTACCCTTCAAAACAGACACGCAGGAATGCTCACATTGCCGATTGGCGGCATATTTTTTATTAAGAAAGTATCTCGATTATGGGATTATGCTCTCTTGTTCAAACAATAAACAGGTCTCCTATTTGATGTTATTTTACACTGAGTGGTGCGTGTGACGACCCGCACTGTGCAACTCGAGCGCACCGCAAGATTATGAAAACGGTGCGCGGCCGGCGGCGGCAGCGGCGCGACGTACCCAAACCAAGGCGCGCTGCTACGTTTGTACGAAGTTACACTGCTTGTCTTATTAAACAGAGAACTGTGCATTAATAAATACTAGACATTTTTTTTAAATTATCAATAATTCGGAATTTCGCCATGTTACAGTGTATAAATTGTTTGATATGTAGGTAGTGCTTTTTGTTAATATATTAATTATAAACTGTTTCTTTGTTAGAATTGAGTTAGTATACAATTCTTAAAATTATGACTGGTATTATATTTAGCTTGCAAGCAGATATAAAAGGATTATTACATGTTTTTAATTTTAAATTAATATTTCTCGATTGGTCGGGAATGAATGGGCTAGCCTTGTATGTTGGGGATTTCCGGAATAGTCTTCCCTAAATTCTACTAGGATTTAGATAGCCGAGATTTTGGTAATAATCTAAATATTTTTTATTATAAGAAATTTCCATAAAAGAGTATCAACTTATTAGCACTGTTTCCCCTTGTACAGTAATGTTAATACATTATACATAATGACTTTTTGTCCCCTGTTCATGGGTCTTTACAAAGAATTGTAAGAAACAATGGTTCATTAGTATTCCAATGTAGTGATATATTATATATATGTACTTATTTTTACCTGTATTCTTTTCCTTTAGAGGAACCAGTGAGTTCATGATCAGCAATTGCTTTCATTTTGTAAAATAAATAACAGGTGCAAGCAACTAGAGTCACAAAAACGAAGTTTTCAATGATAGTGATTTGAAAGAATTTCACCACTACTAACTGGTACACCAGGTACATGTACAGCATTGATGACAATGTCCATGAGAAGAAAAATGGAGACCTGCAAAATATATTTAAAAAAATGTATAGAGGCTTAACTATGCTTCTAATTTACTACTCTGTTGTGTTAGTGCAGTATTTAACTGTCAGCAGAGCTGTGACCATGAGATCTGTAAAGAGCTCGAAACGTTGGTTTGTCTGTAAAAACAAATATACTAGATTCTAGAACTGAAAAAATAGTTGTATTAATCTTGAAAACCTCTATAATAAACTCTTCATCCATTGACCTTTGCAGACAGGTAAGAACTAAATATTGCAAGTTGCTTGGGAAAAGGTTGATGTTTACAGAATATAACCACAGGCTAAAATAAAATTCTCTCAGCTTTAACCAGCAGGTCTGTACAGTAGGTAGGTATTATAAATTCCTGGACACATAATTGGAGCCACCTTGCATTTTCAGTGTTAAATGGCCTAAGTTTGATTAATCAAATAACTATTAAGCTATTTTCATATTGGTATACTAAACATTGCACTGTGATTCCCCCATAGGCCATAAATCAAAAAAAATCATTGGCTTATCCCGGTTAGATCAACTCACTAAGTTAGTAACTAGTTAACAAGCTTCCAAAAACTATAAATATCAATGTAATTAGGTCACGTTATCATTCACTTTTGTGCATCAGAAGTGAGCGCATCGCGAGACTAATTATCACCACGTGTGAGTCATCGAAACTTAATCACTTTGTTTTTGAGTGTCACTATTCCAAATCAAGTGTTTACGTGTTGTGAAAGCATGGAGATCCAAGAGCATGGTATGTACTTTTATTATCAATTTTTTTTAATTTTTTTTATGCATACTTTTTTTTATATAATTTTTTTATTGAAGGCAGTTTTTTTGGTGAAAATTTTTGGCATAACTTAATTTCCTTTAGACCTACAACTTTTGGCTGCGCTGAGCTGCACCTGAGGTATATGGTTTTTGAATAAGGAGTATGTCCTTATTAAGAGCTATAAGTTTCATTTGCATCTTGCTGCCTCTTCTTGGCTTAAAGGGGTGTCAAAGTATGCATGTCCATAGTATTGAATTTTTAATTTTTTTTTAAGTTCAGCTTTCATATTGTTTTAGGTACATTTTTCAAATGTTCTGTATCGAGGATGACAATTTTTGATATTTGGCACTCTAAAGTGGGTAATCCAAATGAAAAAATGCAACACGTCCTGAGCACTTTGACCGAAACATCATCCCTTTCTGACGACATCGAAAATATTGATTTAGAGACTTTAAGCCTTAAAATTAAGAATATTTGTAAACGAATTTCCCACTACTGGGCAAAGTCGAATCGTACTAGATCTAAATTCTTAGAAAAATATTCAGATTGGCTGCATGTCGTTGAAAATATTGATGTACAGCGAACTGAGTTACGTGTATCTCAGAGCTTTGACGAAGTTAAACCATCAACTTCTTCATCGCATGGCCGTCCGAGAATTAACTTTGACGACACCAGTAAACGTACAAAAAGGAGAAGATTGGCTAGTTTGTCTAACCAAGACCCTTCTCTTGTACAGTCATTGCTCAATGCGTCCGATAGCTTGTCTTGTCCTGAAATCGATTCTAGCGAAGTTTTATCGCTCATTGTTGAAGCTCAGTTAACTCGACATCAATATATATTAGTAAAGAAATTTATAGACAATAAGTTTTCAAAAACCATTTTCCCATCTTACCAAAGTGTCGTGGAATCTAAAAAACACTGTTATCCTTCAGATATTACTGTTACAGAATCATCCGCCGAAGTCGAACTTCAAAGTTTATTAGATCATACTGCCAATCGGATTCTCAAGTCTCAAAAAGATGTTTTGGATAGTGTACCTAATGAGTCTCTAGATAAGATATCTTTGATAGGGAAATGGGGTTTCGATGGCAGTACAGGGCATTCAGAATATAAACAGTGTTTTTCTGACTCCACTCTTGAAGACAGTAGCCTGTTTGTTACTTCGTATGTGCCACTTCAGCTTGTTTTGACAACAGATAACAAAGAAAATTCAGTAGTTTTGTGGAAAAATCCTCGTCCTTCATCAACTCGATACTGTCGTCCTATACGCCTCCGATATTTGAAGGAATCGACTGCAGTGTCAGTTGAGGAAGAAGCTCATTTTAAAGATAAAATAAGGAACTTGCAGCCTATTTTATACTGTTTTCAAGGAAGAAGATCGCGAATATCGCATTACTCATTGTTTGCAACTTACTATGGTAGATGGTAAAGTGTGTAATGCACTTAGTGGTGTTTCTTCATCAAAATGTTTTATTTGTAACGCCTTGCCCAGTGAAATGAACAAAATTGACGAATGTTTAAATAAGGAAGTCGATGAGAGTAAATATGAATTTGGTTTATCACCTCTTCACGCGTTAATACGTTTTTTTGAATATTTTGTTCATGTCGCGTACAAGTTAGATGTTAGGAAATGGCAAGCTAGGTCCGCTAATGACAAAATGCTTGTTGCTGCAAAAAAATCATATGTTCAGACTCAATTTAGAGAAAGATTAGGGCTTATAGTGGATAAGCCTAAAAGTGGCGGAAGCGGAACATCAAACGATGGTAATACAGCCAGGCGGTTTTTCTCGAATTCAGAAATTTCCGCTGAAATTACTGGGATCAAGAAGGATCTCCTAGATCGTTGCTGGATCATCCTTCAATGTTTAAATTCGGGATATAATATTAATAAGACGAACTTCGAAGAGTTCGCTTTAGAGACGGCTCGGCAGTTAGTTGCCGAGTATCCGTGGTATAACATGCCTGCTTCCGTTCACAAAGTTCTAATTCATGGTGCTAATGTTATAGATTACGGTTTGTTGTCAATCGGAGAGTTGTCTGAAGAAGCAGCTGAAGCGACTAACAAATACATCAAGTCTTTTAGGAAAAATCATACGCGTAAAATGAGTCGCATTGTGACCAACACAGATTTAGTAAATAGGCTGCTTCTTCATTCAGATCCCTTCATAACAGGTCTACGAAAGTTACCTGTTAAAAAAAAAGGTGTACTGTCAAAAGCTGTATTAGACTTGTTATGTATTTAAAGTTAATATTGTTGAGATTTAATGTATTTTGGTATAATTTGTGTTTTGTTTGTATTTTGTAAAATGAACTTTTTTATGTATTTTTATTGTTTTAATTTATTCATTTGTGGTTATTGTTAATACAAATAATCATTATTTACACAGTTTTACCATTAAAAGTCGCAGTATAAAATGTTTTAGATACATCGTCTAAAAACAAAATTACTGCGAGACATTTTTACACCTAAATATTGTCAAATATTTTTTAAAATGTATAATTTTATTAATTTACGTTTACCTAATCATATTTTAACGTAATAAAATAAAAAAATAATAATAATTTCGGAGTTACGTATTTATGACCGCCTTAGTATGGAGCGTGAATCACCGTGCATTGTTTCCATAAGTTCTTAATGAAAATTAAAATTTATAAAACCGAGGAAAATTTTATTACTTAATTGAAATTATTTAAATTTAAATAACAAAGAATTATTATTATTCATAATTTGAATTAATAAAATTTTCAATGATAACAACATTTTGGTGTTCTGCTCTATAAGAATAACAATGCAAGGTGGCTCGATTTGTGTCCGAAAGTAGATATATAGGATAAATTGATTAGGTACATCTTGAGGGATCTACACCTACAAATGTCATTATCAAATTTTGAAAGGATTTACATAGCGCATTCAAGTGGGCTTAGTATCATAATGAATATCACAGAATATGTTTATTTGCCAGAATTCAGTAATTACATGTCTTAAATAAAACAAGACACTATTGGATATTCAACCTGTAAGCAGATGCAAATTGGATTGGAATTTCTTGCTTCATCTCTACAGTTAATTGTATTTTAAACAAATGTAAATTAGTGTTGTGAATTCTTAGTATTCTTTATTACTATAGAAGCAACGTGTCAAAAGCCATTTTGTGAATTGTGGAGCATCGGAACAAAAATTGATAAGTCTCATTTGGTTCATTCTTCTTTTTTAATGCAAAACAGTAGTTTCTGAATATTTTTTGAATTATTTATCCAACCTTAACAACGATCGCTCTCCAGCTTCTTTCAAAATATGTATCAAATGCATTGACCTACCAATAAATGGACGTCGGCTTCGCGCTAAAAAGTGTCCGCACCTGTAGGGCGTTAAAATCGCATACAGAGCATCAATCGCGCAACAGTCTTCGTTTGTTCAACTGACAGCGCGGTTGTCAATCATGCAGTACCAATATTATAACTTGTAAAAATTAATGCAGTAAAGTGTACAAACAGGATTTTGTATCATATTTTCACTAAACAAATATATTGTGTTACAATAGTTCTCATTTTAAAGTGTTATTTTGTACAGTTTTACAGTATTTAATTTATTTATAAATGAAACTATTTTTCCGGATTTAAATCGCGTATATTTGTTTTTTCAAACAAACCGACGTTTCGGGACCTTTACAGGTCCCATGGTCACGGTTGACTGAGGTGGCTGATACTACACATTCATTGAAGTTTGACAAACCCCAGGTCCTTGCAAAAGAAGTCCGTTATCTACCCAGGATGCTGCGAGAGGCCATTGAAATTAAAAAACATCCTAATTTCAACAGGGAAGATGGTTTTCAGTACCACCAGTTTGGGATCCAGATTTCCTCTAATGAAAAATCCCAAACAGACATAAGACTGCAGTACTAATTAATATGTTTTAGTTTATTCTAATTTCTATTAATAATTAATAATAAATTAAACTTAATAAAAATTCACAGAAAAAACACTCAGAAAAAATTCCTTCGATCCGGTCGGATTCGAACCGACGTCTTCTTGCATACCGTGCCAGAGAAGCACATAGAAAAATTCGTGAGGTCCGTTGGTTCATTCCATGGCTTAGTTGGTATAGCGTCTGCCACGGTATGCAAGAAGACGTCGGTTCGAATCCGACCGGATCGAAGGAATTTTTTCTGAGTGTTCGTTCTTTGTATTAATAATTATAACAAACTAGTGGAGTAATTTCACAAAAAAAAAAAATTGAATATCAATTCAATAAAAATTTTAATTAATAAAAATTAATTCAATAAAATAATTTGTAAAACTTAATGTAGCATAAATTGGAATGTTTTCTTTGTAAAATTAAAAATAAGGTATTTAATTAATAACTATTGTAACTATAGTGAAAAAATATTATGGTTTGCATTAATATTAGACATAGGTTGAAGACTGTACCACCTCAGTCAACCGTGACCATGGGACCTGTAAAGGGCCCGAAACGTCGGTTTGTTTGAAAAAACAAATATACGCGATTTAAATCCGAAAAAATAGTTTCATTTCCTATGTGTAACAATCGCGAAAACCTAAGAACTCGTTATTTATAAATGAATCGTAAATATAAATGACAAAAGCACACAAAATAATTAAATAGCTAACTGTTCTTTTTCTACACATTGCATGCGCAAAAGATGGAAAGAGACCCATTACGTCAGTTTCAAGAAGCTTATATAAACTTATTGGTCATTTTCAATTGTTTGAACCACAAGCGATTGAAATATTTAGAACAAAGAAACTATAGAGTCGCTTTGATTTTAATAGTATTTTTAAAATGATTTTTTTATTAAATGTTAGCAATAACTAACAAAATATTGTTGTACTCGTTTTACGGCTTGGGATTACCTATCAGAAGTCAGAAAATACATTTGCCCGAAATAACATTAGCTTGAATTCTCATAATGTCAAATGTATTTTTTAGGAAGATTACAAAACAAAAGCTAATTTTGGCTTTGTGAAAAGCATCAAAATTTCTCAAAAGCGTAGCGGTTTTATTGTAAATCAGTTTTCGGGATTACGGATATTTGAGTTTACATTTTGTTGGAATATCGGCACATTTTTTATGGTACATGCTTTTTTTATTTTTACATTTGTAGTAATATTTGTATGTATGTATCTACCCAACTCTTTATTTATAATCCTTAAGTGAATTTGTAAAAAAATCGACATAATAATATATATAAAAATTAATTAATAATTACGAGAAAGGCTACTCCATTACTCTTGTGTTCAAGTAATTTTCAGTCGAAGCTAAATATGGTGCATTTTGTTAAGTTTCCAGTAGAAGCTGAATATGGTGTTTTTGGGCCCTTAAATTGTTGCAAGCAAAATTAGGCAGTACTGCAATGATGGTACAATTTAAATTAAATGTTTTAGTTTTTTATATATCGTTACATGTTACTTTGTTTGTATAGGTTAACTTCGGACATTTCTTTCGTGGTTTTTGTATTAGACCCGATGTCCATTTATTGGTAGGTCAATGATCAAATGCATAAACCTAAACACAATGCGATAAATCCATTCAATGGGACTTGACAAAACTTCGAATCGAAATTTATAAGATTTATTGGTTTTTATTCTGTGAATAAGGTCGAATAGATATTCGAAGTGTAGATACACTTTACCACAGATTTTAGAAAATTGAGCATAAGTGTTGACAAACACACAAATATTAATAATGTACATGCCTGGCAAAAACTGCACATTCAGCTTTTTGAACAAGGGTTTGCAGCTCTCATTGAATAACTGTTTTGTAATTGACTATGTCCAACTAATTACAAACTCACCTATTCTTTTTCCTTGGTCGTGATATCACATACAAGACACCCATCCCAGTCATACCCATGAGAATCACTGTGGTGTTCAAGGATATTGTACCTGTTACCAGTATTATAGGCACAATTATAAATGGCAAAATAGCATCTGGATCTACTTTCTTCGACCCAGAACAAATTGACCCAGATAAAATATCACCTATAGTTATTGTTGATAGCGTAACCATTTTCTGTGTTGACATTATTTATTTCAATAATAAGTATTCTTCTTTTATTCGACGGCGCTATTCGAATTCGTTCAAGTTCAACTTCAACTTTTGTATCTATGGCTCCGTCGTTGTTAATTTTTAAGTTGTTGACTTGCTTGACATGACATTAGGCTTATAAATTATCGATATTTTTAAATGTCGATACATATATAACGGAATTTTTAAATGTCAAAAATCGATTATTCATTTCGGCTTCAAGTTCATGTCCAACACAATTTATACATTATATTTTTTTGTCGCAGTTCATTGTCCAATGTCATTTGCTCCTGACAAGAAAAACTATTATCCTTTCGCGCTCCTGCTAGTAAAGGTTTGAAGGATTGGTTCAGTGCAGTCTCAAAGTACTTTTTTTGGAACACTCCAATCAAAATATCGACATGTTTTTCTCTATAAATATCGATATAGTTTGTAAATGTCAAATTGACAGCATATAAAATATAAATTTTAGTCAATGAATTCACATGGCAGTCTTTACTTATTTGAAATCTATAAATTAATGATATGTTAAATGTTTTTTGACATTTTATACACTATCTATTGAAATTGCATTTGAATTATAGTTGTGCGTTTTATGCCTTCAATACATTGACTTACAATTATATGGACGTCGGGTCCGCGCTAAAAAGTGTCCGAACTTATAGGGCGTTAAAATCGTATACAGAGCGTCATTCACGCTTTAGTCTTCGTTTGTTCGACTGACAGCGAAGCAAGCAAAATTAGACAGTACTGCGATGACATTACAATTTAAATTCAACGTTTTAGCTTTTTCATATTCCTTTACATGTCACTTCGTTGAAATAGGTTGACTTGGGACATTTTTTTCGTGGTTTTTGTATTAGACCCGTCGTCCATTTATTTGTAAGTCAATGCTTCAATATAAGTAATACGAAACACTTCACTAATCTATAGATCGTTCAGAATACATCAGAAAAATAAAACTATAACACGATGGAGATATCATTTTCTTCAAATTAAAGTCTATCGACTTTAACTCATCCCTATGACAAACGTCAAATGATGAGTCACCATCCTTTTTTTTTAACTAGATTTTTAACGGCTTTGGCATAATGCCATACAGCCTATTCTTTCTTTTTCTTTTCTTCATTTTGGTTTCACTTTGTAAATAGTTTCAATCTTCATATGACTCAAAAGTGAAAATGATGTAACTGTAAATAACTTCATAACATTTTACGTTTTCAAGTAGAGGTGGCAGGAGGCGGGGAATGTCTTCCTCTTCATAAATCTTCATTAGGCCATCTACTAGCAGTAACCTTTCTACGTTGAAGTCAGGACAATGCAGAATGAGATGATCCAAATTTGCTGCAGCAGAATCACAGTACCTATTAACATTGATCAGAGGACATGATCTTGATTCGTTTTAAGTGTGCTGGAAATTTGCCGTGTCCAAATCTCATTCTGTTCATTGTTGTAATAAATTTTCTAGAGGGTGATTTACATTTAAAATACCAAGGTTTAGGTGGGATTCTTTTTTGAATTTGACCATACCAACTTCCTTTAAAATTTTTGGAGCTTTCCCATTGTTTATGCCATTGTCCGAACACTTGGGATTTTAAAACTGTGTTGAAGTCTGTCATGGGAACTGGCGGAGGATCATGGGAATTGGGTATTAACGATTGTTTATGTTTGGAACTTCAATCTTCATTAGTTTGTCAACTGTTTCATTGCCAGTTATCCCTGAGTGTGAAGGCACCCATATAAATTCAACTTATCTATTTTGATTTTCTAACTATATTTCTCTGATACTAGTTAAGTAAATGTTATTTTTGTAAGAAATATGCACATCTGCAGACATGTAAGAACACTCAATGAGTCGGTAACAATTAAAAACTTTTCTGTATCTCTTATTCCTATGATATATTGCAAAGCGGTATATATGGCGTAGGCCTTTGCTGTAAATATGGATGCGTACTTATCCCACATAAAACATCTTCCAAACTTTGCTTCACATTCGTGTTAGGCAGCCTTAGTACTTTCTTCTGTCTTTGAACCATCGGTGTAGATTTTACGAAAGTCCTGTTTCTCACTATTTACAAAATGCAAAAATTCTGTATTATTAGTCACTTTTTCGACACAAATTTTAGGGATACTGGTTTGAATTTCTAATGTACTGAAATCCTATTTTTCTCTATGGTCTACGCTTTTACATATACATTGGAGTTCTTTCAAATGGCCACTTTGTAAAAGAGTATTAGTTTTACATACTTCTTATTATCTAAAATTTTAACATACAATTTTTCGGTAAGATACTTAAGTTTTACTAAAATAGGAGGGATGCCGGCTTCAATTTCTAACGAGTTAATTGGTGTAGAGCATTTAGCCCCAGTGATAATTCTTAACCCTTTATTTTGCATAACTTGTAATTTATGATACAAATTAGAAATAATAAGTTTTCCATAAACTACTAATCCATAGTCCTAGTGGCTTCTAACTATAGCTTTAAAAATGATGTTCAAAATTTTGGGATCCATTCCCCAAGTTACACTAGCTAAATGTTTCATTATATTTACAGGTTTTTGCTGTGAATGGATGAGAATGAAAATTTAATTTATAAAAAGTTATACCTAAAAACTTATATTCTACTTTTTTAATATTTACAGAACACTATCTAGAGAGTCATAATAATATATTTTTTTAAATTAAATATCATGATGACATCTAATTTAAGTTTATCTTTATAATATACCTGTAATTTGTTTAATGCTTCATTTAAAGTAGATTCTGCTTGTATTAAGTTTTTGTGAGAAGTATACAACACAATATCGTCAGCATACTGAAGGATAGAGAGTCTTGGAACTGTTACATATCTATGTATTTGAGATGTGTATAATAGATAAATCAAAGGTGATAAGGTCGCTCCTTGTGGTACTCCTTTAAAAGCTATCTTAGGATCGTGTAAACTGTTATTAAATTTAATAAAAACTGTTCGCGAGTAGAAAAAAATAAAAATCCAACCTTGCCGGATATATTAAAACTATGTAGATTTGCACTAAAATCGACACATCGAACGGCAAAAATCGAAAGCACCGTTTACGTCAAGAATTAAATAGCCATCATTGCAGAATGATTCCTGTACATCACCACAAAACTTTAAAACACTGTCTATTATACTACAGCCCTTACGAAACCCGAATGGGTCATGGTGAATAATTAGCCTAGATTCTACATAAAGCACCAATCTTCTTTTCAACATATTTTCAAAAATTTTACTTACACAAGAGGACAAGGAAATCGGTCGATAGGAATCTGCAAATTTGTGGTCTAGGTCTGGTTTTAAAATAGGAACGATTGCTGTAGATTTCCAAGAATCAGGTATAAAACCTTTTACCCATAGATCATTAAAGATGTTTAATAAAATTAACTTAGCTGTCGAATCAAGACGTTTTATGAAAATGTATGGAATGTCATCTAATCCTGGAGAAGTATCTTTTTTACTGTTCAAAGATAAGTTGAATTCTGATTTAGAAAAAGGTAAGTTGAGATGCGTATTGAGATCATTATATTCAAAAAAGTTTCTAAGATGATCTTTGCCTACAGGTGGCTGACCAGTAGCTATTTTCTGCAAGAAATCTTGTAAAAATGTATCGTCCCTAGATTTAATAGATGTTTTTTTACGATTAGAAATCTTAGGAATTGAAACTATTTGTCCCGGATTTAAATCGCGTATATTTGTTGCAGGTCCCATGGTCAGTCAACCGTGACCATGGGACCTGTAAAGGGCCCGAAACGTCGGCTTGTTTGAAAAAACAAATATACGCGATTTAAATCCGGAAAAATAGTTTCATTTTCTATGTGTAACAATCGCGAAAACCTAAGAACTCGATTAAAAATCTTCACAAATTTCCAAATTCGACTGACTGGAGTATTTCTGTCAAATGTGGAACATAGATTTTTCCAACTTGAGATCTTTTCTTGCTAAATTATAAGTTTTTTAGAAGCTTCTATTTTTTACACAATAAGTAATTTTCTATTGTTGGAAACCTTCTATACATATGTAGAGCTAATTTAGTTTCCTTAACTGCGTTAGAGCACGCTTCATTCCACCACGGTACAGGTTTGTGAAGTTTATGTTTACAAATTGACACTATATTGACACTACGTACAGGAATGTACTTTTCTCTTAAGCTATTTAATAAAGAACAGAATTTATTATAAGCTTGAATAGGATCTTGTTCATACTGTAGATCATTAAAAATGGACTAGATTTAGTCGTATAACCTACCCAATCTGCTTTTTTATATACAAATTTTTTGAAGGGAATAAAATTTTCATAAATGTTATGATCAACATTTAATCGTACTATTGTAGGAAAGTGGTAACTACCCAATGTATCCTCAGAGTAAGTAGACCATTCTGCAGACACCGCTAGAGAAGGAGAAATAAAAGAAATATCTATAGCCGATGCCGGTTGATTAGGACGAGAAATAGTTGTTGTTTGACCGTCATTCAATAAGTACATATTAAGCTCATCTAACTTATCAAATATCTGAATTCCTCTAGGCTTACTAGTAGTGCATCCAAATGCTGTATGATGGGCGTTAAAATCACCCATCACTAATATTGGATCGGAGTTGTAATGGAGTTGATTACATTCTTCAAAATGTTAATAGGAAAGCGACCACTACGAGGAGGACAATACACACCAAGAATTGTTAATGAATTATTATTAGAAATTTTAATATTTATGGCTATGGTTTGAATTTTATCATTGCTCTGAGTGAAAACTTGAGAACATAAAATATTATCTCTACATAGAATGGGAACACCACCATAACCATTGTCGTTGTCAGTCTTTTCGAAAAAAATTATAACCTCTGATTCTTATCGAGTCTGTTTGTTTTAACTAAGTTTCATTAAGGACACAAATATCAACATTAAGTGAATTTCATAGCTGAGAAACAAGAGCAGATTTACGTTTAAAACTTTGGATATTGTGCTGCATAACTACTAATGACTTTTTTTAATAAACATTTCTTTTATTGTTGAAGAATTAATAGGTAAAGTGTTTTCTTTATTACAGAATATTATTAGAGTATCAACTATAGCTTCGAGTATCTTATTATTGTTTATCACATCAGATAACAAATTCCTGTCTTTGGTTCTTTCGGATGTTATTGCCTGTACGGGTGTAGGACGTGAAGTGGTTGCTTTGCCATAGGATTTGTTCAGTGCAGGGAAAAAAGAACCCAGAGTACTTCTATTCATTATTTTACTTCTATTTTCATAAATTTTTTGTTGTTTGGAAGTAAAAGCTGGAATGAATGCTTTTATTTCGTATGATGACAAATATGAAGAATTCGACAAAAGAGAGTTAGCATTATTTGCGTTATCAAAAATTACAGCATACCGCAAAGCATTGACTCGTTTTATTTCTTTGACACCTTTATTGTACCGGCTGAAAATATTATTCAAATATACTGGGTCTTTATACCCAAAATTAACTGTGTCATTAGTGCTTTGAATATAAACTGGGAATACTGTGCCTGGGGATTGTCAGGGTAACTTCGAATGTGGTTTTTCTTAAAGTATGGAGCATACTTTGTATCTTTGTCTTCATCAGAAAAGTCTACTACACGTCCGGCTGCTTTTCTTTTCTTATCACGGGGTTTTGGCTCCGAACCTCCACTGTCAGAACCCATAACGCCCTTTCTAGCACAAAGTAACTATAAATTAGGAGAGAAATTTATTAAAAAAAGTATTATAAAACTCTCAAGAAATAAAATTAAACCTCCCGCCTCGAGAGTTTCCCGCCTTTTCCCACACATCCTTTTTTTAATATTAGTTTCACGGCATCGGAATAAAGCCACCCAAATTCAAGCCAAATCTTCAATTTTTTTTTCCTATCTTATAAATAAAACTTTTCATTCATCCTTTGACAGTTTAAGGGTCGTATTCCAGAACTCTACTCAATGCTCAAGTCAGGATTTGAGTATGGTTTAAAGCACTCGAAATCATACTCAAGTCCCTGCCATTAGTGTCGTATTTCCAGTGCTTGTGTTTCCAGTGCAATCCTGACTTGAGCATTGATTAGAGTTCTAGAATACGACCCTAAAGATCGTATTCCAGAACTCTACTCAATGCTCAAGTCAGGATTTGAGTATGATTTAAAGCACTAGAAATCATACTCAAGTCCTTGCCATTAGGGTCGTATTTCCAGTGCTTGAAATCATATTCAAGTCCTGACTTGAGCATTGAGTAGAGTTCTGGAATACGACCCACAATGCTGTATTCTATGGCTTGGATACTAGTAATTTTTGTCTCTCCAAAATTATAATTCTAATAGAAAATATAAGTTTGTTTTCTTGGTTTGTTAAGCCATTTTAAAAATAGGGTATGTTTTTTTATAAGTATAAATAAATTAATACGGTGTCAAAGAATCATACATATCTTGGTCTGCAATATGCAACCGAAAGTAATGTAGGTAGCAGAGAGTAACTGTACCAGTTGATTCGAGAGGACTATTGAACACTAAAATTGGATCAATTGGGAAGAAAACCGTGACCTTTCATTTAAGAAATAGAGGTAAGTTCTCCATTTCTGTGTAGCCGTGTATCCACCTAAATTGTGTCGGTCTTCAATATTTACGCGTATTCTACATGACTGCATCGTTAAGCCACACGAAGAACCTACCATATCACTCGTCGATGACCTTGGGACCTTGTTCCTGACTACACTTCTTCCAGCATTAGTATCCAGTCTTTTGTTTTTGAGAAAAGGTATAATTATGTAGATACAGTGCTAAAGGATTTATGTAAGTATATACTCACGATGGTAGTATAACCACTAACTAGGTACAAGTATACTTTTATGTATTTAATGAATATTAGTATAAAGTTAGAATACTCAAAGTAATTATTACTTACTATGTTTATAATCGACATAACTACTATTTAATTGGTATACCCTGTCAGGGAAATTCACAAATCTGTAACATAATAGGTGATTATAATAATATTATAGAATATTTAGTTACAACAAGGGTATGCCGTCGCAAAGAGGGTACGACAATATACATGCGCCCCGTGTCAGTCAACAACAGTTTGCGCGCGCACGCTCTTGGAGCGAGCAGTGTATTTTTTACCTTCCAGTTACGAGCGACAAGCCAACATTAGTATTGATCGGGCCTCCGCCGCGAACGGCGAGGCGCTCTCGAATATGCGATAAGAATTAATGCCATATACAGTAAACCTGTGTCCATAGTAATAACACCTTCAGTACGGTTCTCACATAACATGGAACAGTGATGGATGGCTGAAATCCTTAAACAACGATTAGTGACAATGTCGAAGGCAAGTTTTTTTAATTTCTTAGTTGACGAAGTGATCATAGCAATTGTGGCTGCAGGTAGATGTTAATATCATTGTCAAGGACGCTACCGATTCTTTTAATTTGAGTTTTCAGGATATTGAGTGTTATGATTGTCAAATATAGTTGCAACCATTGTAACAAAATGTTCACGTTATACGTAGTTAAACATAACGTGGTACAGAGTAACAAGAACCAAGTACCTACGTACTTAGCTACTATGTTCTTGGGGGTAGGCACTTATATACCTACATTAAAAAAAATTAGTTTCTCAGTATCATGTTGAACTGAAAAGTCACGAGTAAGATACTAAGGTGTAATGTTTTAGTTATCTCGTAAAAACATATGTGTTTGTACTTGCAAACTGAATTGAGCGGACTCCTGACACGGAAGCATGAATACTCATATCTTTGATATAGGATTAACATGTGGAGAAAAGCGGTGGGAAAAAAGATAATTTGTGGACAGCAGTGATATATAACATTACAATAATAATAAATCGGTTCGTGATGCTAGCGGCACAAACAGCCGACAGGCGAGCATTTGCTTGCGTCATCCAAGCTGCACGCACAATTATCTGTACCCCATGCCATTGAACCACTTTTTTGCGTCTCATTTTGCCCCGTGTCGCCAATAAGATCAATGTTCCATCAATGAACTTTTATTCAATTATATTCAGAAGTAAGTTTACGTGACCAATATGTTATTTAATTATATATATTATTTTTATTTATTTATTATGTATTAGATTTCTTTTGTATGTGCTTAGTTATAAACTATGCTCATTATTAGCAACTTTAAAAAAAGTTGTATTATACGAGGAAATGTGAAAATTTATTGGTGAATTAGTTTATGTGGTGAAATGATCAATCACGGTATACCTACAAGTGGTATTTATACATTTATTTGTGTTGGTATCAATATGTAGATAGCTTTAACCATCTATCTATGACATCAATTACGACTTGTGTTTTCTTCGTTTCCGACCGCGTTAATAAAATCATTATAACTAAAAATTATAACACATTTCAATTAAATGTAGCTATCAAACGAACGAGTAAATGTTTTTTTAGATCTTCAATTTAAATTTTGCAAGTTGACTAATGTTCTTATGACATGAGTAAGTAAGTAATTAAGAAAACAATCAACAAATATGCAAAAATAGTTATTTGGTATACCTATTGTCAATATACAGAATACCTACATAACAAAAACATTTTCGTTCGAGTCACGATCACCGCTGTTGTTGGTATTGACTATTAGTTATACCTACTTAAACGTAACACGTTATATATTTATCTATGTTATGTATGTAGCAAATTGATGGGCACCTGCCTACTCAAGACAACTACAATTTTAACGCTGAAATACATGTTCTAGGCACCGTCATTTTGAATGGTAGGTATATATTATCTTCAAATTGCTACATAGCATAAGACTACCTGTTGACCCTGTGGTACATCGCCTTATTTTGTTATGCTTAAATTACTGTCCTGGGTGGCCATTGTAATTTTAATGTACAATAAAGAATATTTCATTGATTCGATCTTTGGAACCTCAAAAGATGGCAAGTAGCACTAAACTTTGACTTCCTTCAATGGAGGTACCAATTTATTAAATTTTAATATATTACATAAAACATTAATGCGTGATGAATATCACAATGTTTATTTTTTTAATGCACACACTCATAGCTCCGCACTAGGGAAACCCTGTATCGCGGGTGCCATGGACACACACATAGACAACCACAAATTACACCCAAACTCACTAGAGAAATAAATGTAGGCCATACAAATATTTTATTGCTCTACTGTGTTCAATATTTGTGTTAATAATTACACAAAACATGTTTTCGTCCTGAGGTTTTGCTTTGATACTATTGCAAAAACCGCATCCCGTAACTAGAAAAAGATGTAACTAACTGCGTACCTTAGTCCTAGTGTTTGGTAACCAATGTGTTTGTATCATGTTAACATTCCAACCATGGCCTAAAATACTTGTTTTGGGTTTTAAGAGTCTATCGACTCTACATCAGCGCGAATTCATATTTTTCCCGAACTACTATCGGTCATTTTGCTTGGGTCGGGCGACTGGCCTTACTTCAGAATTAATTTTTTACAAACGAAATCAATGCCATTTGAAAAATGTATATCCTATACTATACGTGTTCTATTTAGTTTAGTTGATATTAAAAGAATCATTGGTAGGTAATATGTAAAGTACTTATAATACAGCGGTGTTCTTGTAAAATTTCGAGGAATTTTGTTTTTTTTCTAACGTGAAAATTTTTAGGAATCGTGTTTTCACACCATTTATTAATCGGTGTATATTTTCAATTTTACTTTATATTTTTTCCACAGTGATTGATTCAACATTTTCACTGCTATGTCGAATCAACCAAAGCCATTTGAGGTTGTATGGACTATTTGAAGTAGGTATTCGATTTATTGTTAATGCTATCAAAGATAATATAAATTCGAGTGTAGACTATCTCATTATTGAGGCGATAATCTTAAATGCTCAGGTCAAATATTATTAATTGAAACTGCGGTTGGGCAACATAAAGAACGTTCACAGCATAACGCTTGACATCATACTCCAAGGGCATTTTAGTTCGTGTGGTTCATGGAAAGGTCTTATTGACTTTACATACATGCGTGTGAATCGCGGTACACTTGGTATGAGTACTTTTTAGACATTCTAGTGACTGTATTTGTCATATTTTGCAAAATATACTTTTTTATGATATCAAGTGACGGGACGAACAAACCGTGCGTCTGGTGATAAGCGACACACCTACCATAACACTTGCCATGAACACATGGGGCACTGTCACTGCGCCTGTCACTCAAAGACATAAAGTCTCATGTGCCGGTAATTTCACCAGCACACTTAACCTTTCAAAACCGGAATGCAGTAATGCGGTTCACATTACTGTTTGGCGGCAGAAATAGATAGGGACAGTACTTCCCTGGACGAACTCTCACAAGGGGTTCTACTGCTACTAATAAATACTTAACTATGGTAATGCAAGAACGTAGCACGTGGACGACTTTTGACGACCTCGCCTCGGTGGCTCAACGATTTGCACCGTGGACGCTGCCGCTGAAGGTATGACCAATTTGGGAAAATTAACTTTTCTAGATTGGTTTTAGTCTGGGTGTTCCCGGAAGTGCCTTGGACTGAATTCCATTGCTATGGTACTCATAGTACAGGCATTTAGTGTGGCTCTTCTTGTGTTGGCTGTTGACCGTAACCGATAGACTATTTTATTTATATTATATTTTTGTATCGACGCAATAGCTTAGTGTAACACTAGGTTTTGTAGTATAGATAGTAAAGCCAGTATTAATAAAAAATTATTCCTCCTATCCGGAAGGCAGTGTTTGTTGGACAACTACATACTGACTTAAAATGTAGGTAAAAATCGTAAATGCGAATTAAGAGTAGCAGACGAGGTCAAGTATCGTCGATAAGAGATTAAATGATTACAAATTTTTACGAGCACTAATCTAAATAATGTGTTTGCACGATGTATCACAATAGCGTGCCCTATATGGAATGACCAGTTAGGTATGTTACGAACTGCTAACATGTCACTGCAGCGCTTCCTTTCTACGACAGAAACTAGTTTTGCTTTCAGGTAATATAGATTGATTATAAATTGCAATCACGAAATGTTTCCCTTTTGTAATCGATACGACGTAAGGTGTCGTAACGCGAGCGGGTTTCGGAACAATCGTAGATACACACGCAAAAATAAAGCCTTGAATTTTAAAATTGTATTGGAATGACCAGAGAATTAGTTTTTACAGACCTGTTACAAAGCAATAACATGTGAATTTTTGTCGTGTATTAAAATTTGCAATAGTACACGCACACGGTCGAATACAACCCAAGGTTAAAGCGGTTGATATGCCAGATAAAAAGTTAGCTCGAACGGTAAGTAAATATAAATAATTCTTGTTTAAAAATATTATAATTAGCAATGTAAATATTTCGGTTCGACATGGAGCATAGCATAATAAACAGTTGGCATCTTCAAAATAAATACCCATGTACATATGTACAGTCGATGCTTTAAGATGCTTGATACCCTAGTCGACCTTTTGGTTCTGAGAGCCTTATTACTTAATCAACAGAAAAGTTTTTAAGGTATTCCAGATTTTTGGTTTAATCTTGTATTTATGTAATTAATGTAATTAAAGATAAGATTGGCTTAAAAAGTTTCTTAAGAGTTGATGCAACCTTAAATGGCTTTGGTTGATTCAGCATAACAGTGAAAGTGTTCAGTCTTTTTTCTTTCTATTTCTATTCTGTCACTTTGGAAAAAATATATAGTAAAATTGATAAAGTACACTAATTACCGTGTGAAAACACGATTCCTAAAAATTTTTACGATAGAAAAAAACACAAACGTTCCTCGAAATTTTACAAGAAAACCGCTGTATTAAATATATAGCGTTTTACTTTACATATACCAATGATTTGTTTCACATCAACTGAACTAAATAGAACATGTACCTATCGTATACGATATACTATCCTATGCGTACTTTATACGACAGTTGTGCCCTTTTTCGTTCCAAGAGCAGAATAGATCCAATTCAGTACGGGAAAAATTTGAATTCGAGCTGAGGTAGTATCAACTCTTAAAACGTCATTCGATAATGATACAATAAGGAAGTCATATAAAAATTAATTATACGGCTCACTGGTTAAAGGTTAAGTTTGTTTGACACCTTTCTTCACACTGATCAATTCAGAATCAAATAGACGGTTAAGGTGTCAGGTATCCTAGGGCATTGACTGTACTAAGTAGTTTGTAGATTCCTAACATAAGTAGGTACTTGAAAATGAAACTATTTTGCCGGATTTAAATCGCGTATATTTGTTTTTTCAAACCAATCGACGTCTCGGGCCCTTTACAGGACCCATGGTCACGGTTGACTGAGGTGGTACAGTCTTCAACCAGTTATGT